TTCGATACATCCCTCTTGGCTGTTAAACTTCCTAACACACAGACCTCTGTTGGGATCCGGTGGCTTGCCCACCAGAGGGCGCCAAGGATCCCTTCCTGGGGTTTGTTTTTCTGTTGGTTTCTGGGTTCTGTCTGCCTTTCTCCTCCAGAGGGCGTTCTGGGTCTCCTGAAGCTGGAACTGACTTCACCAGCTGTTTCTCATCTGCTCATCAGGAGACCAGCATATAGGCAGTGGCAGTGCAACACTCCAGTGCCAGAGTGTTAAACCAGTTACGGTTAGCAAGCCTGAGCCAACCTGCCTGTCTGAATCTCTGACTCCCCTGGAGCCTGAACCTAATCTGCTTTTTGTCCTCTCTGCTTCTCAGGAAGAACCTGCCTGGGAACCTGAAAACCTGGAAGAGTTTCTCAAGCGAGAAACCAAGCTGTCTGTTCTCAGAAGAACCCTGCAAATCCAACTCAGTCTGAAACCTGCCTGCCCGCTCTCAGAAAGAGCTGAGAGAGAAGCTCTGAACCTGCTCAGTAAGATTAACTGCTCTGCCCTGCCTCTGCCTAGCCCTCTGCCTGCCTTCAGCCTCTGGACCCTCCTGGTTCCCCTCCTCCACCGCTCTGCTCATTCTCTGATCAGGTATAGATCTGCAAACACACTTTCTGCAAGTTCTCTGGAAGATTGCTAACCGAACTGTCCCCATCTGCAGAGAACCCTGTTTGACCAGTTCTGGATCTGTTTCCCTGCATCAGCCTGAATAATTCATTATTGTTTCGATAAACTGTTGAACTTTTATTCCAGTCTGTGTGTGTGTTCTGCATGTGGGTTAGGTCCATTAGTCCCACCATGACAACCTCAGTCAGACAGCCTAATCGAGAATGTGGAGAAGACGAAGGAAATCATCGTTGACTTCAGGAAAAATCGGCCTAACCACGCTCCACTGCTCATCAACAGCTCAGCTGTAAAGGTGGTCAGCAGCACCATATTCCTGGGGGTGCACATCACAGACACCCTTGCCTGGACTGTAAACACCACCTCACAGGTCAAAAGGGCACAAAAGCGGTTGCACTTCCTGTGTAGGATGTGCAGAGCCCACCTGCCCCCACCCATCCTCCCCACCTTCTACAGAAGCACCATAGAGAGCGTTCTGACCGGCTCTCTCACTGTGTGGTGTGGAGGCTGCAGCGCCTCAGACTGGAAGAAGGTAAGAAGAATGATGAAAACAGTGGAGAAAATCATCGGGGCTCCTCTTCCCTCCATAAAAGACATTTAATCCCAGAACTGCATGTCCCGAGCCCATAACATGATAAATGACCCCTCACACCCCCACCATGGACTGTTCTCCCTGCTACCCTCTGGGAAGAGGCTTCACAGCATTCGATGCAGGTCAACAGATTCTGCAACAGCTTTTTCCCCACTGCCTATAGACTGCAAAACTGTTGAAAAATCTCTAAATCATGTCACAGACTCTTCATCACACTGACAACACCAAACCAAAAATACTGCATATTTGCACAATATACATTAAAGCTCTGAACTTCCATATCAATGCGTTTTTTGCACCTCTTTTTTTTTCTCCCACACTGTGTATATTTGATCACACTGGAAACTACGAAATCTAGCTAAGTCATTTTTACTTAAAATAAGTGCATTTGTTCTTGGATTGAGGAGGTAAAAGAGACATTTTGCCAATGAAACAAGACAATTTACACTTCAAATAAGAAAACACAATCGCATTGTCTTATTTCAAGTGCATTTCATCTAATTGTCTTATTTAAAGAGTAGAAATACTCATTCCATTGGCAAACTATCTCATCTACCTACTCAAATTAAGGGTAAATACACTTAAGTTAAGAAATTTGTACTTATTTCTAGATCATTTTTCCAGTGCACTGCTTCACGTTATTTGCTGGAAATGTTCATTTACTGTCTGAAAAGCTAAACGAAAGTTTTTTTAGTACAGCTCAATAAAACTTGTCTACCTTTAGGCTCAACAGTGTGGATGGAGCAGGAAACAGAAGTTAAAACAGAGCAGGGGATTGTGGGATGTCCTCTACTCTCCATATCCACCAGAGCCGTTTAGAAGAGGACCAGGCTGCAGATTCCTCTCATCTGCATGGTGTGATTGGCCTCCTGCCTCCAGGAAAGCGTTCCAGAACCATCAGAAAAGAGACTAGCAGACTAGAGACGGCTTGTTCCCTACAGCAGTAAGACCTAACAGATCAGTGAGACTATGTATCGGATTTTATTGTTTTAGTTACGACCCTCATGAAAAAAAACCTTATGTTTTTTATGCTTTAATGCTGTTCTAGACTATAATCTGATATGTAGATGCTCCTGTGTATGCATTATGATGATAAAGGCATTCCTTAATCTGATTCTAATTGCTAAAGCAAACCTCATCTCTTTTTTTAGGGATCTCAGGAAGGTTATTTATACTTTTATGACTTCCCATCTGGAGAACTGTAACTCTTTATACATTGGGCTGGTTTAAACAGCACTGCAGCGGTTAACCACAGCTAATCTGTTAACCAGTACACAGAATCATGAACACCTAACTCTAGTCCTAAATCTTCACATAAAGTTAAATAGCTCACTTTTGGTTTTAAATGTTTTGTTTTTTTCTTGTTTGTAGCTGTGAAGCTTTTGGTAATGTGCCATATGAATGTATTCAACATAAAAATCATATAATTGAGATGATGTTTTTTAGTCCTAACAGTTCTGGTTTAGTCTGAGGCAGGACTCGGGCCCCAGATAGGGACCCTTGAGCCTCATCTCAGCCTCCTGGAGCGTGAAACACCTGCTAACTTTGTCTTTACTGTTATGAGAACATGTTCACATTAGGATTCAGCTCGTTACCCAAGCACACCAACCGCTCCTAGTGTCACCACGAGGGAAAAAAAATCTACATTTACCCAGGATGCTGGTAAACAACTTGTATATGTTTACACCTTGAGCCCATTCAGTGCAAAGAAAAGATTCACTGTTATCAAGAGGAAGTTATCTTCCACCTCACTAGACAGACAAGTGGTGCTTTTTCTTCAACGTAGTTGATCTGTTTCAAGGGTCTATATCTGTACATAAGGTATTAATGACACAGAGAATTTTTATTAGAGAAATGCAAACAGACCCTGATGGAACCAAATAAAAATGGGTTTGAGACCAGCCTCTTCGGCCAAAAGCTTTTTCACTCTCACTGATTTTAAAGAAAAACTGTAGATTCACTTCCATACAGAAAGCCCATATTCTTATCTTCAGGTAACACAGAATACATGTCAGATTAAATAATATTACTTATACTTCAGCGATAGTATGTAGGTGTTACTTTATTGTATGTCTCAAACCATGTTCGTTGGTTGTGCTGTTCTTTTTACATCTCTTTGCAGGTGATGGAGACTGAAAAGGTTTTATCATTATCTCCTTTTTATCTCCTCTTTCTTTCATCTTTTCTCCTTTTTTTCCTGTTTTTCCTTTCTTGTTCTACTTACATTGCAGTGTACATATAATCTGTAAAACTCACTGCATAATTATAATAAAGCAATTTATATGCATAAATCAAGTGGAACACCCCATGCTAGTAATGGGTTGGACCCCCTTTTGCCTTCAGAACTGCCTCAATTCTTTGTGGCATAGATTCAACAACGTGCTGGAAGCATTCCTCAGGGAGTTTGGTCCATATTGACAGGATGGCATCACACAGTTGCCACAGATTTCTCGGCTGCACATCCATGATGCGAATGTCCCGTTCCACCACATCCCAAAGATGCTCTATTGGATTGAGATCTGGTGACTGTGGAGGCCATTTGAGTACAGTGAACTCATTGTAATGTTTAAGAAACCAGTGTGAGATGATTCCAGCTTTATGACATGGCGCATTATCCTGCTGAAAGTAGCCATCAGAAGTTGGGTACATTGTGGTCATAAAGGGATGGACATGGTCAGCAACAATACTCAGGTAGGCTGTGGCGTTGCAACGATGCTGAATTGGTACCAAGGGGCCCAAAGTGTGCCAAGAAAATATTCCCCACACCATGACACCACCACCACCAGCCTGAACCGTTGATACAAGGCAGGATGGATCCATGCTTTCATGTTGTAGACGCCAAATTCTGACCCTACCATCCGAATGTCGCAGCAGAAATCGAGACTCATCAGACCAGGCAATGTTTTTCCAATCTTCTATTGTCCAATTTCGATGAGCTTGTGCAAATTGTAGCCTCAGTTTCCTGTTCTTAGCTGAAAGGAGTGGCACCCGGTGTGGTCTTCTGCTGCTGTAGCCCATCTGCCTCAAAGTTCGACGTACTGTGCGTCCAGAGATGCTCTTCTGCCCTTGGTTGTAACGGGTGGTTATTTGAGTCACTGTTGCCTTTCTATCAGCTCAAACCAGTCTGGCCATTGTCCTCTGACCTCTGGCATCAACAAGGCATTTCCGCCCACAGAACTGCCGCTCACTGGATGTTTTTTCTTTTTCGGACCATTCTCTGTAAACCCTAGAGATGGTTGTGCGTGAAAATCCCAGTAGATCAGCAGTTTCTGAAATACTCAGACCAGCCCTTCTGGCACCAACAATCATGCCACGTTCAAAGTCACTCAAATCACCTTTCTTCCCCATACTGATGCTCGCTTTGAACTGCAGGAGATTGTCTTGACCATGTCTACATGCCTAAATGCACTGAGTTGCCGCCATGTGATTGGCTGCTTAGAAATTAAGTGTTAACGAGCAGTTGGATAGGTGTACCTAATAAAGTGGCCGGTGAGTGTATGGCAATAGCCGTACTGTTCCACTTGTGAAAGTAAAGACTGTTGGGCTCTTTTTGGCATCAAGGCAATTATTCTTATTGCCACATTGCCAGACAGGACACTGTCCAAAAAATATATAAATAAATAAACAACAACAACTGTAAAATCTATATAAAAAAACATCTATTATGGATAGATAGTATTTGCAGAAATGTCTGTGTTCATCTTTAATTACTCCATATGTTTTTGTCTGTGTGTCCAGCATGCAGTCTTACCACCACTATCAGTGTCATGGTAGTTGGGATCAAGGCCTCTCTCCAACATCTTCCCCACTCTGTCCACCTGGTTATGCTGAATAAACTCCATGAACTTCCTCAAGTTGGCCTGAACACACAGAGGGGAGACTGTTATTATGGAGGGATGGAAGGACAAAAGGCAGAAACTTTCAAAAAGACCACAATACAATTAGTGATATGGGGGAAAGTCAAAAAAGGTCAAATTTAATAGTAAAAAGTTGAAGCGTTGGTCAGTCAGCATGGAATTGAGTTAAACGGGCAGATAAGACAGGACGGATAAAGGGTAGAATAGAGGGGAAGTGGAGGGAGGGTAAACATGACTGGGACTGAGAGCGTGGGGATTCTAAAGTGGGGAATGGCTGCTCCTTTCTGCTCTGCTCCGTCTGCTTTCTTTCCAGGCCGTAGGATAAAAATAGATAAGAGAGCAGCTCCCAGAAGGAAGGGAGAAAATGAGGAAGGAACAATGAGAAAGAGCAGAATAGGGGAAAGAACAATAAAAGATTTGCAATAAATGGTACAATAATAAGCAGATGAGGGGGTAAACAGCAGGAACATGGACCAGCAGCTCCAATCATAGTTATTGTTTCCTCAATGTATGATGCAACTAATGTTTTATTCAGCTTTCCCACTTTCAGAAGCTGCACTTCCTTACTATCATTTACTAACCTGACTCCGCCAGATGGATTTGCTCCGCATATCCATCTGGAAACCTTCCATTAAAGTAATTTTGGGAAGGGACGAAAATACTGGTTAGCTGATTGGCCTATGTTGGTGATAGACGGGCCAAATATACCAATCAGATCAACGAAGCATATGACGTACTAACAGAGCGACGACGAAGAGGAGCCAATTGATAGATCAAACTCTTGCTGAAACCAGTCGGGAGAAGAGCAAAAACATCTTTTCCTCTGAGAAAAGCCTCCAGAGCAGTGTTTTGCTCTTCTTAAGTGAAGAAATACTCTGTAATTCCAATAAAACTTGCTCGATAGCCATGCTAACGCTAGTTTCATCGGCTGAAGTCGCCATGTTCTTTAGACTGAACTGTCGCGCTTCTCGCTGCGTTACACATCAACCCGCCTCAAAGCCAAGGCTGATTGGACGTTTGTTTGGTGAACGGCTCCAAATTTTCTTTAACGGAGAGTCTCCAGACTGATCTGCGAGTAAAAGGTCAGAAGTTCTGCTCTGCACTGTTAAGAAGGGAATGGAGGAGATCTTTGCTATATTAAGAATTTATTTAAACTATCTTTTTCCAGCATGTAACTTTAATGATTGTTTTTTTTTTTTTTTTTTTAATAAGGTAGTTTATTGTAAAGTAAAAAGCACATTGGTAAATGTCGCTTAGCGAGGTTTTGATGCTCTGTGTTAGGGTTGTTAAGTTTCCCCAACCTTAACCTATAAAAAATGGAAACAAAGACAGTGTAAGATATTTCCTGAAATGCTTTGCAAAGGGGAGTCCAGAGTTGAACCGTCAATCTCTGCATCTCCGCTTGGCTCAACACTTGCCAGGCTTTTTATTGAGCAGTCAACACATTACAACAGCAGGCGTTAGTTTCGATTACACAATCTCTTAGACATAGCATGAACTTTTAAGATAGGGAACTTGCTTGGTTTCAGCATACGCTTTACAAAAGGTGTCGGAGTTATGACTTTTAACTTCTCTGCTTCTCAAATGAAAAACAGTCTTATGACCTTCATACACTATTTTCAATGATTAGAGTAACATATAGAAAAACAAATGATTGAGAGCTATATAAAACATATAAATGAATAAAATGATAAAAACAACAGAAATCATAATAACTCCAACACTATGTTCATTAAAAATGTTTGTTTTTCTGTGGTTCAGTATTAAACTCGTCAGGTTTAGAAATGAACATTCTCACAGCTCAATGCAAAGCTGCTGCCTCCATTATAAAACCAGCACCATCAACCATCTTGCTAAGAGGATTACAACCTTGGTCCTAAAAAGATTTTAGATCCAACACAGCTAATTCAAATGACTAAGTGTTGGCCTAGTGAGAGGAGTGTTGGCATGGTGCCGGCTCGGACTGGTAATCTGTGATACTGAGCATTTTCCTGGTGGGCCAGTCCTAACTTTTGCGTGAGAGGGTTGGCCCTCCTTAAATCGTACCGGCCCCATCACTTACTCTCCGGCCGAAGCTCCTACCTGTGACCATAAATAACTCAAGGAGCTCCAGAAGTAATACAATATGAACTAACTAAATGATGCATGCAGTATATATAGCCCTTCCTTGTCATGCACATCCTTGTGATGGTTGGCATATTGTGTAATTTTCTATTTCTTCAAACTGTAAAATCCTTACAACAAACTAAATAATAATAAAACTAACATGCTTTCTTTAAACCAAACTACGATCTTCCTTTTATATTTAATTAAATTTATGTTTGAATTAGTGCTGTCAAAATTATCGCGTTATTATCGCGTTAACGCAAGGCCATTTTAACGGCGAAAATTTTTTTAACGTGAGATTAACGCTATGTGGTTTTATGGTACAATTTTCCAAGTACATCCCGCTGCAGCCTGCGGAAAGGCGGGGCTATTTTCCCCCAGTCTATGCATTTTCCATAGGCTTCGAGAGCGGAGCTCCTCAAGGAAAAAAGACACTCATACACTGGGTGACGCTAGTGCCTTTTCTTTAAGCCCCACCACCAACAAACAAGTTGAGTGTCTGGTAACTAGTAGCAACCTGAAATACGCTGAGAAAACTGATTACTGAGGTGAAATGGAATCTGCTACGGCACTCTTGCTGTCTGTGTACGCCACAGGTCAGTATCGCGTGTGTGTGTGTGTGGGTGGGTGTGTCTGTGTGTGGGTGGGTGGGTGTGCGTTCTCATTTTTGTTAAGAGGCTGAAAAGTAACTTTCTAGAGCATAGACTACCTCCATCTAGTGATGTCGGTCTATTGATTTTGATGTATTGATTGAAAATTGTTCATTATTATCTTGGTTAATTAACATCTAATGTTAACTGTACTACATTTTATAGCAGTAGGGTAAAATGCTTGTCTTTGTTCAAAAGAATGTATTAACTGTAAAGACTGTCTTTTACATCAGCCTGTTTTCAGGGCCTACATATTTATTTTTTGCTACATGCCTCCCCATCTTCTTGCCATATGTTTCTATGGCATAAATCAGTGTCTGTGACCTGTTTTCATTTTAAAAAAAGAACATTGGCACAAACCTAGCCTGTATGTATTTTTTGTATGTCATCGAGAGTATTTAAATGATTTTCAATCATAAAAAAATTTGCGATTAAAATGCGATTAATCGCAAGTTAACTCAGGCATTGATGCGATTTATCGCGATTAAAAAAATTTAATCGATTGACAGCACTAGTTTGAATATTTTGCAAAAATATGTTGCGGTGCATGAAGGGGTTTCGCATTTAAAGGCTAACGTTCCCCGTTAGGTTGGCAGTCTATGGGTAAAAAAATGTTTTGTTTTTTTTTATTTATGGCCTAATAGATCAATAGACTTTGGTTCAATTTGGGGGAGATTTCGTATATCCAGGCGGTTTATAAAGATTTTTTGTGTAAAAAATGTTCATCAGTTAGTGTAGATGGAAAAATGCAGAGGCGAAAATCGTTCCAAGTCCGAACAGTGCGCTTGTGCTCTAAAAAAGGTTGCAAGTACCCGGTTTGATCCCCACAACCACACTGCTGGATGAGTTAAATGCAGAGAGTGAATTTCCCTATTGTGGGACAATAAAGGGTTTTTACCATTTTTGAATTACTTCTTCAACATGAAATGTACCCCTAACCCCCATCTACTATGTTGGATAGTAGATGGGGGTTAGATTTTGATCACGCCGAGCTGTCGGCTTCCAACACAATCGGCACGGTCAGGACTTAGTAGCCTTCGCAGTTCCTCCTTACCCTTTAAACCTCGGACTTTAATTACAACACGGACAACTGCCATCTCCAGAGAAGGCTGAGGTCCTTTGGAGTGAGCAGGCCACTGCTTAAAACCTTCTATGATTCTGTGGTGGCATCAGCCCTCCTCTATGCTGTCGTCTGCTGGGTCCCTTGCAGCACAGAGTGGGACAGAAAGAGTCTGAACAAACTGGGGAGAAAGGCCGCTTCTGTCCTAGGCTGCGCTCTGGCTCTGGACCACTGGAGGAAGTGACTGAAAGGAGGGTGCTGTCCAAACGTACATTTATCATCGACAACACCTTTCACCCTCTGCTGAGCCGCTCCTTTAATGAAAGACTTTTACACCCTGTTTGTAAAAAGGAGCGCTACCACAGGTCATTTATCCCTGCTGCAACCTGGCTCTACAATGCAACACTACAATGTATAATGTATAATGTGCAATTTACTATTTGATACCCTGTACAATAACCTGTTTCTCTATATTTGACACCCAGTGCAATAATTATATATACACTATATTGCCAAAAGTATTTGCTCACCCATCCAAATTATTGGAATCAGGTGTTCCAATCACTTCCATGGCCACAGGTGTATAAATTCAAGCACCTAGGCATGCAGACTGTTTTTACAAACATTTGTGAAAGAATGGGTCGCTCTCAGGAGCTCAGTGAATTCCAGCGTGGAACTGTGATAGGATGCCACCTGTGCAACAAATCCAGTCGTGAAATTTCCTCGCTCCTAAATATTCCACAGTCAACTGTCAGCTGTATTATAAGAAAATGGAAGTGTTTGGGAACGACAGCAACTCAGCCACGAAGTGGTAGGCCACGTAAACTGACGGAGCGGGGTCAGCGGATGCTGACGCGCATAGTGCGAAGAGGTCGCCAACTTTCTGCAGAGTCAATCACTACAGACCTCCAAACTTCATGTGGCCTTCAGATTAGCTCAAGAACAGTGCGCAGAGAGCTTCATGGAATGGGTTTCCATGGGCGAGCAGCTGCATCCAAGCCATACATCACCAAGTGCAATGCAAAGCGTCGGATGCGGTGGTGTAAAGCACGCCGCCACTGGACTCTAGAGCAGTGGAGACGCGTTCTCTGGAGTGACGAATCGCGCTTCTCCATCTGGCAATCTGATGGACGGGTCTGGGTTTGGCGGTTGCCAGGAGAACGGTACTTGTCTGACTGCATTGTGCC